TGATTTTAATCACATAAAGTCAACATATAGTTAATTCCCTGTACGCGCAAGATTATTTGTAGATGGAAACTGTTCATTCAAGGAAATACAGAACCAAAAGAGTATATATCTCAAATAATGGCAGACAACTTAGTATATACAGAAACAATGTCACATTAAAAAGATGAGTGTGACAGAGATGCGTATGTTACATTCACTACAAGAATTCCGCTAATCAGTGGCGGATTTTTATGGCGAAAATGAGTCTGACGGTATTTAGTGTCGGAATTTAATGGGGCTGTTACATCCGCCGGTATTTAGTGGTGGATGTTTCGCCAGTATTAACCGTCAGTAAACAATGACGGAAATCAGTTCGACACTAATATCCGCCACTAATTCAAAAAAAATAAATACTACCTACCAACCCATTCTAACTCCACACACAATCCTTATTCTCACACCTCTCTGGACATGCTTTCTTCAGCAACTCCAAACTCGAAAAAGGTTAGAATTCTTATCTTTTTTTGAAATTAAAGTTATTTTAATTTATAAATTAACTTATCATGTGCATATATGTTTATATATTAGAGAAATTTTCTCCTTGTTTGTTTGGTTTCCTTATTTTCTCTTAAAAAATACAATTCAACTATATTTATGTTCATTACAAGATTGAAGATTATTGTTAGAAAATAAATATAGGAAATTGCTTGTTCAAGTTAGATGTGTTGAATGAAATTCAATAATAGATATATGTTGTTCGTATTATTTATACAAAATTTGGAGATAATATAGTAAAAAATAAAATGTATAATGTAGATGGAAACTTAAATTCTAATTCATATTAATTTCTTAAGAGAAAATTTGGAAATACTTTATTCATAATATATTTATATTGCTACTTTATTTAGTTTATTCAATGAAAATGTAATGTATGTCGTTTTATTTCAGTATGAGTAATAATAGGTCATGGATGTGCAAAAGATTAGAGAGACGAGGATGTCTACATGATGATTTCAAGGAAGGTGTCAATGAGTTCATTCAGACAACGGTAACTTTATATTCTAGTGGTGTCATTGCATGTCCCTGTAGAAAGTGTAAAAATCGAAAATGGTTGACTTGGGATATTGTTAGGCAACACCTATTTGAGAAAGGTTTTATCGATGACTATTATGTATGGGCAGCACTTGGAGAGACACCCAATTCAAATGGTCTGGTTTATTTTGATCAACCTAACTCCTCGCATTGTAATGCATCTGAGGCCCAATATAATCCATACAAATCGATGTTTGAGGATGCAGTGAGGAATGAATTCCCAACAGAGAATCAAGGTGATTTTCTTGTGAGTGATGAGCCTAGTGCAGCAGCAAAGAAGATGTATGAGATGCTAGATATGACGAGTCAACCATGCTTTGAGGGTTGTCCAATGACTGAGTTGAGCGCAATGTCTGAAATGTTGAACATAAAGACTGAGATGAATCTATCTGAGGCTGCTACAGACAGGATTGCTCAATTTGTTAATAGATTTTTCCCAACTAAAATCCCCAACAGGCCTATACCAAATTTTAACAAAATAAAAAGGAAGTTATCGTTGCTGGGAATGACTAGCCAGTCTATTGATTGTTGCCCAAAAGGATGCATGATATATTGGAACAGACACAGTGAGCTAATGGAGTGCAAGTTTTGCGGTGGTGCAAGATACATGATCAGTAAGCAAACAAAAAAACCAATTCCACTTGCAAGAATGGAGTACTTCCCACTTACTCCTAGATTACAAAGGCTTTATGCATCAGATACTACCGCGGAGAAAATGAGGTGGCACAAAGTTCACCATAGAGAAGAAGGAGTGATGCAGCATCCGTCGGATGCAAAGGCGTGGATTCATTTTGACAATCTCCATCCAGATTTTGCTGAAGACCCGAGAAATGTTAGGCTTGGTTTATGCAGTGACGGGTTCCAGCCATTTGGGCAATTTGGTCAGAAATACTCTTGTTGGCCTATCATAGTGACACCATACAACTTGCCACCAGGTATGTGTATGAAACAACAATTTTTAGTTTTGTCTATATTAGTACCTGGACAAAAAAATCCAACAAAGGGGATAGATGTGTATTTGCAACCATTGATAGAAGAGTTGAAACAACTGTGGGAGGTTGGGGTTGTAACGTATGATGCATTCTCAAGGGAAAATTTCAATATGCGAGCTATGTTGCTATGGACAATAAGTGATTTTCCCGCATATGCCATGCTTTCTGGATGGAGTACAAAGGGAAAATTTGCATGTCCATGTTGTGCTGAGTTTACTGAAGCATTTTGGTTATCCCATAGCAAAAAACATAGTTGGTTTGATAATCATAGAAAGTTCCTACCAGGTGATCATCCATTTCGGTTTGATAATGAGAACTTTACTAAGGGAAAATCAATCTTCTATGGCCCTCCGTTACCGAGAGATGGTTCATACTGCTATGATGAGGTCAGTTCCCTGATGCCTGTGACTGAACTAGGAGGTATTGAGCATAATAAAATAGCTGGAAAAGATAAGGATGGAAGAAACGTAGTATATTCTGGGATCTCCCGTATTGGAAGGATTTGCTTGTACGACATAATCTCGACGTGATGCACATAGAGAAGAATTTCTTTGAGAATATGTTCTATACAATTTTGGGGGTGACAGGAAAATCGAAGGACCATGCTAAAGGGAGAATGGATATGGAAAAAATTTTCCATAGGCCGAGTATCGAGAGGGACAGTCACGGAAAATTCCCTAAGGCTCCTTTTACTCTTTCAAGTGAGCAAATGACAGTGTTATGCAATTGGGTTGATTCATTGAAGTTCCCTGACGGCTTTGCTTCTCGGTTAGGGCGTTGCATAGAAATAGAAAAACTTAAAGTGTTTGGCATGAAGAGTCATGATTGTCATGTGTTTATGCAACGTTTAATTCCGATTGCTTTTAGAGAGATGTTACCTACTTCGATTTGGGAGGCAATCACAGAGATTAGCTTATTCTTTCGTGAGTTAACAAGAAAGAATATCACCGTTTCTGACATGGAGAAGCTAAAGGCAGATATTCCCATTATTCTATGCAAGTTGGAGAAGATTTTCCCACCGTCATTCTTTGACCCCAGTGAGCATCTTGTTGTACATTTACCAGATGAAGCTTTGTGGGGCGGACCTGCACAGTATCGTTGGATGTATCGTTTTGAAAAGTTAGTGTCTTTTACTTTTTCTCTTTCGGTTACTATAATCTTTTATAAATTTTACTTCATGTCTTAAGTGTTATCATTGACATAGTTTCCTAGGATCAGTCTTGAAGACAAAAATAGGAAACAAGGCAAGAGTTGAGGCCTCAATCAGGTAAGGTTATTTGCAAAGTGAGATGGGTACATTTGCGAGTTACTATTTCCCGGAGGAAGTGGTTACAAAGGAACGCCGTGCGCATAGATTGGATGGTGGTTTCTTTATTAATGATGATGCTAGCGCTTCAATTTTTGCACAAAAGGCAAAAATAGTCGGTGCAAGCACGCGGCGACACATGAACCAAAACGAATCTAGTGCTGTTCACTCATATGTGTTGCAGAACTGTGTAGAAATCCAACCATTCCGAGAGTAAGTCATACTATTCTAAGCATTGTTTGGTCATTTTTAATGTGGTGTGATATATTGAATGTACTTATATTTAAATGTAAGCGTGGTCCTTTATTACAGGATGTTTATCAATACAACAGGATTATCTAGTTCTGACAAAGTCCAACTACAAACCAACTTTCCTTTTTGGTTTTACCACTACGTGAGAATCTAAACTACCTTATTTAATTAAATAAAGTCGAACTACGTACTGTATAGAGTTTTATACATTGTATGTATTAAGATTTTGTGCTTTGTTTAGGTGGAAAACGACACAATAGATCATCCACGATGGCTTCGTGCTTTATCTAGATTTCCCTCTCCATATGTGACTACTTACCAGACGCTTAATATCAATTTTGAGGTCTATTCTTCATCTTTCAGCCATCTATGCTTTAAATTATAATAACCCTGTAAGGCAAGTCTGAATTTTTTGAGCATCTTTCAACTATTCTCTTGCCTGTGGCGTTCTTCTTCTTTCGGTGTTCTGAAATTCTGCCCTATGAAACTTTGTTTCTCATATAGTGTATTTATATTAATTTTACTTTATTTTTAAGATTGTCTTATATAAATCACTTAATATAATATATGAAAATAGCGGACAATGGGGATTAGAAGAAAGTCTCCGTAGGAAAGTCTAAGGCTGCCCCTGGAAATGAATATCATTTGTTTTTTTCGTTGTTCACTCTGTGCAGTTACAAGGTGAGTGCATTTTTTTCAGCTGGTGCTTCTAGATGTACTTCGCATGTACTATGTGTATGTGCTAAGTTTGCTAAATCACTACGATGTACTAGCTGTTTAGGTAAAAAAAAAGCTACGAAACTTCTTTTGGCTTCAGCTATTAAGGTCTTCATCTCTTAGTGGTTTGGTTAAATAAGTTTATTAATTTGTCAGTGGAATGTTCATTCCTATTAAGGACTTTAGTATTATCATTCATTCAAAGTAGCAGAGCAACTATTTACTGAAGCATGTGTCTGTGACTATGTGTACTGCTTAGAGCAAAGTTTTGATTGCCCTGAGTTTTGCTTGGTTGACTAGCTTTATTCATAAATTGATAGAGCTGATCCAACTATTGAGGTGGCTGGATGGGGTACATGTTAAAAATTATCTATATAATAGCTCTTCCATGTGTTTCTTTAAATGTATTCCTGTGTTTTGAATTTGTTCATGCATTTATAACAGCTCTGCCAGTGAACTGTGAACTTCATAACAGAAAACAGTTACGTACAACCCGTCTAAGTTGTCAAAAAACTCAGATAATTGATTATTGATAATAGTTCATGGTTGGGTTTATGTTCCTTTTTCAGTGAATAGCCTCGTTTCATGCATTTATTATAATAGTTCTCCCATTTTCTTACTGGTTGGGTTTATGTTCCTTGCTCTTTTGATTATTGATCCCAATTGACTTTTGTTCCTTGTTCTTATTTAATTTATGTTTCACTCTTTTTGACATAGGTCCTTTTAAAAATAAAAAAATGTCCACATTTAAAGGACTTGGAGCTCCCTGTCAGAATAAGAAACAATATCATGTAACTCAAGAGGTGTCGGGCAGTTCTAGCCATTCAACGCCATCTCCATCGGCTTCTTTACTAAAGCGAAGCTTGACTCCTAGCCCAGGACTTGGATCTGGCTATCAGAATAACAAATCAGGGCATGTAACCCAATCGATATTGGGCAGTTCTAGCCGTTCAACACCATCTCCATCCGTTTCTTCACATGGGAGAAGGCAGCCTATTAACACAACTAAACAGATGCCGCAAACAAGGCAACCTCCCCAACCGCCTCCTTCACAATATAGTTTACCTCGAGGTCCTAGGCCAAATATCACACCACTAAATAACCAACAACCAATCATTTCTCCATCCCTAAACCACTAGCAACAAAGTCCTACATTCTCTCACCAACAACATCCTTCAACATCACATATACATGATGATCTATTTGAAGACAATGAAGATGTGGAAGATGAGATCGTTGATTGGAAACCCAATACCTACGGTGATCTTAATTGGGGAGAAGAGCCATTAGATCCTTTCAAATCTCTATCAGTGGAAAAATTTGAAAGACCCAATGTCGGTGTAAATGCCGCAGGAAAGTAAGTGTAATATTAACTATTATTTATGTGTATACATTATTCTTTAATGCTACTATACAATTACTAATAAATAATGTATACTTTATATGCAGTCTAATCAACATATCTGTTACCAAAACAAGTCTAAATTTTCAAGGAATTGTCTCAAAACAAATCAAGTATAATCTTCATCCAGTTGGACAACAATGGAAATGGGTCCCTGATAAAACTAAACAGTTATATTGGGAACAATTCCATGTATGTGTGAGTAATATGTGTTGTTTTAGAATATAATTATATATGGTATGTGTTTTCAAGTGTTTTCAAGTGTTTTGTCATACCTTTTCTGGAGTTAAACACTTTATTTTAACTCAAAAGCACCTATATATGTTTAAAGATTGAAGGTTTGATTGTATATAGGATGTAGTCACTTGGAATATTTCTGAGTTCAAACTTAAAGACATCAAGGAAGGTTATGAAAAGTATTTACAGAATCGTGCTTACTCCAATATCATGGGTGATATCAGGTGAGCATAATGAATGATATTTATTTTTACTAGTCAATTTATTTAATTAACTTGAAATATAATGGTTATCCTTATTACACTTGAAGGGAAAAACGGCCTGTAATAGTGAATGACTTCACTTGGGCTGCTGTTGAAGAGTATAAGAGGTCAACGCAATTTCAGAGGGCATCTGCTGCTGGTAAGAGAAATCGTATTGCCGGTGGGGACAAATGCAAACAATATGGGGGTTCTCGAGCTGCGGTTGATGTGGCAGCCCAAGAGGTGAGTTTAAAATTTATTTTGATATATGTCTCAAATTTTAGGTGATTCATTGGATGATGTTTTTGCATTTTGTTTTAGTTGAGGATTACCGGTGAACATATAAATCCTGTCAAACTTTGTGAGACCTTCCATCCAAAGAAAAGGAAGAATGGAGAGCTAATTGATTATTCTTCACAACCGAAAGTTATGGTATGTAATTACTTTTCTGCTTCTTGGGTCTCTATATTTTACATTTATAAATATTTTAATTTATTTAATTTAAATGTATAACCATATAACAATCTGCTCTAAACCCTAAAGATTTTTGTACCATCATTGAGTCTGTAAATGTATTGTACATATATGGTCAGTGTTTTCTGTTTTAGCCCCCTTATTAAGTGTGTAAATGCATTGTATATATGGGTATTGTTTTCTGTTTTTAGCCCGTGTACTGAGTGTGTAAATGCATTATATATAAGGGCTGTTTTTTGTGATTTTAACCCCTGTTTTGTGTGTGTAAATGCATTGTATATATTTGGAGTGTTTTCTAATGGCCAATACAACTGACTGTGAAGATTTTATTTGCTTAGTTATCACCATGCTTCCCCTCTTGCTACACACACGCTAACTGTACATTCATATCTCAGAAAAGAGTGGAGGATGTGTTTGGTTATTTTTAACACTTATCAAATTCTTTTCGATAATTACTCTATTTGGAAACTTTATTTATGTAAGATTTGATCTCAAGATTGTATTAGGTCACCACTTTACACGTAGTTTATAGTATTAAATCTGTAAACATCCTATTGAGATTTTTTGAGCAATTGTGAGTTGTGTCGTTATTGTAAAAAATACCGGCAATGTTCTCTTTTTAATTGTGTAGTGTATGATTTTAGTTCTTTTTTCTGATTTTGATGTTGATGATTCATGAGTTTAATAGGTAGTGCAACATACCATGCATTGTACCTAATGTTTTTTATTAGAGAGTATCAAATATTTGAGTGACTTGCATCATTTTGTTTGCACAGGAGGTTATTAACAAGCTGTCTACTACATTCCATGAAGCTGAAAGTGAACATCAATCACAAGAAGCTGAAATTTCAGCGGCAGCAAAATCAGTAATTTCTGAGTTGCATTTCAAGTATTTTGATGTCGTTGGGTACAACAAGAAAAGAATTTTGGGAACGGGAAGGTATTCCAAAGCGTTTCTTCTCCAATTAGAGTCAAATCATAAAGCATCTTCATCAAAACGCTTGCATGATTTTTGTGTTGCTTGGGATGAGCATATGAGAAAATGGTTGTCTTCGCATGGTCATGAGGCTCCACCGGTTATGCCTCTTGTGGATGAAAGTTTGACAAATAAGAATCCCGGGTTACAACCTAAAAGTTTTGAAGAAACATGGCTTCCGTTCTTCAAGTCATATGGAATTGATGCCCCAAACTTCTTTCCACAACAAGATTTATCCTCTCAAGGCTCTCAACAGTCACATGGAGACTCTTTATCCAACTAGATGCATAGCTTTAATTTTGAAATGGCTTAAACATTTTAAACCACATTAATGTGGTGATATGTATGCCTTTTTTGGATTTAGTATTGAACACTAGATACTAACAGTGACTTGGATGTTTTTTTTGGATTTAGCATAGTTGGGGCTTTAGTAGTGACCTGGAATCTAATTAATGTAAAATCTAAGCTAGTATAATATACAGAGTATTATTTTTTGGCAATATTTGATTTTAATTATATTTAATGGTTCAAATTTATCTTTTCATGCTTTGATTTGATAAATTAATATAAACAGTGTTTGGTAGGCATACATAAATAATAATTGAATTGACAGCAATTCATAAATGAAGAATATTTTTTTGTAAATAAAAATTAATTACCGGCGAATAATAGTGACAGATATTCCGCCACTAAAACTGTTGGCAGAACCATCCGTCACAAAAGTCCGCTTCTAATCACTGACAGATTTGAAAATCCGCCACGAAACAATATTACTTCCAGAATTTACTGGCGGACGATCCGTCAGTGATTTCCGTCACCAAGAATTTCTGTAGCGGAGTTAGCGACAGATATTCCGCCACTAAATTGTGAGATTTCTTGTAGTGGTTGCATATGTGGACATACCATGAAAGACCGCTTGAGAAATGAGATAATCAGACAAAATGTGAGAGTAGCACCTATAGAAGATAATATGGAGGAGTCTTGCTTGCGATGGTTTAGACATGTGCGTAGAAGACCGAGTGATGCACCTATTAGACGACTTGAGGGGTGGGGAGAAAAGACTGAGAGGAGAGGGAGGAGAAGACCCAAACAGACTTAGATTAGAGTTGAGGAATCAGAACTGACATGTGTCTTCTTGGGTTGGATGAAACTCATGAAAGTATGGCTTTGAAGGTAGCAAAGTGGATGGAGCATGTTCGTGTGTTCGATTGATCTCTTTTCTATCTTTTCTCTCTCGTTTTCTTTTATCCTTTTATCTTCTTTATCTTTTTTTGTTCTTATGTTATTTTTATCTTCCATCTCTTTTATGCTCTTTTATCTTTGGAAAATTGAAAATAATAATCCCAACTATTAACGGTCCGCTATTAATAATCCCAACTATCGATTATTCCTGAGTGGTCCCAACTATAAGGAGTATTTCCCAAAAATAGTCACTAACCTACTACAACCTGGTATACCAGGTCAAATATTAATGTGAACTATCCATAAGCTTTAAATAATCCCAACTATAGTTATTCATCTTTTATTAATCCCAATTATCAACTCTCAATTTTAGAAAAAAATAAAAATATTTTTATAAATTTTCAAATTAAAAATTTGTAAACATGTAAAAATTATTATGAAAATTCTACAAAGGTACCGAAGTTAAATAAAATAGTTTTAGTCATTTTTTATTTATTTTCACTAAAAATTTATTAATTTTTCTTTTTTTCCAATTTATTATTCCCAGTTGCGTTAACAAGTTATGATTTGATATTGTTTTCTTTATTCAATTTTACATTTTATGTATTCAAAAAGTAAGGTGTGACTAATTTTTTATGATTGAAATATTTATTTTAGTTTTTTTCTTGACAAAATATTTAATTTAATTTTTATGCTATGTTAATTCTAAAAATCTAAATTCTATTTTATCCATTTTAGTATTTGTAATTTCTTTCTATTTTCTTTATTTTATATGATTATATTCTATAAATTATAAGATATAGTTTATCGTTCAATTTTAGTAATTTGGGGCATAGGTTTAGGAGGATTTGGCTATTTTTAATGATAATGTATTAATATTGTACTACGTAATTTTTAATGATATAATAGAAATTGTAAAATATGTAGAACAAATGTATCACTTAAAATTAAATTATTAATATATTTTGATTAACATAGACCAAACCTTCAAATCCTATGTCCCAAATCATAATGATAAACTATATCATATAATTTAGAGAATATAATAACATAAAATAAATAAAATATAAAAAAAATAAAAAAATACTAAAATTGAAAAAATAGAGAATTTTGATTTTTGCAATTAAGATAGCATAAAAAATTAATAAAATAGATCTTCATGAAAAAATCTAGAATAAAGATCTAAATCATAAAATTTCTTAATCACAATATGCTTTTTGAAAACATAAAATTTAAAATTGAATAAAGTTAGATAGTACATTATCATAACTTGTTAACACAATTAGGAAAAATAAATTGGAAATAAAGAAAAAAAATGAAATTTTAGTGAAAATAAAAAAAAATGACTGAAAATATTTTTATTTAACTTCGGTACATTTGTATAATTGTCATAATTATTTTTTCATGTTTAAAAATATTTAATTTAATAATTTATAAAAATATTTTATATTTTTCTTAAAATTGAGAGTTGATTATTGGGATTAATAAAACAAGATCGACTATAGGTGGGATTATTTATAGCTTACGCATAGTTCACATTTTAATTTGACCTGCTATACCAGGTTGTAGCATGTTAGGGACTATTTTTGGAAAATGGTTCCTATAGTTGGGACCTACTCAGGAATAATCGACAGTTGAGATTATTAATAGAGAACTGGCAATAGTTGGGATTATTATTTTCAATTTTTCCTTTATCTTTTTATCTTTTGTCTTTATTATATTCTTATGTTATTGTTATCTTATATTTATTTATCTTTATCTTGTTTGTTTTATCTTGCTTTTTTTGCTTCTTGCATGTCTTCACTTTTTGGCATCGAATGAATCGATTCATGTTAGTCGATCCCAAAATTTTGGAATTAAGGCTTGTAAGTTGTCGTGTTGTAGACAAGTTTAAGTGAAAAATAAGACGTAATGAAAAATATAACAAGTACAAGAAAGAAGAGTTCAGAAACGAAATATATATACTTCGTATTATTTAAGTAGGAATGCACAACACTGAATGTTCTATGATAGATATAGGAGTTTCGAGGTTAACTAATGGAACAAACATTAAAGACACTATTACATGGAAGCTATTAAAGCTAAACATTGTAGAAATGCGTGAACCCTGAACTTGGGTCTGCTCAGTTATCGTCTTTGTCTTGTCGGTAGCCAAATTTGAAATGCTAATATTTTTCGTATTTTACATTTTAGTTGTCCAAACGTTTCACCCAAATTTCAATTTTCTGCATATCAATAAGTTAAACTAAAAGCATATAATTGTGATTGGTATAAAATGAGATGAATAGACCAACATGAAGTTTTCTACAAAAGTGAGATTTTTGGGACATCTCTAAATGAAATATGAGTAGATAATTGTGGGAAATGAGTATTTAATGTAACTATCTTAGATTCACAAAGTCAAATTGAGTCAAATGATAAAGTCCTCAAAATAGAGAATTTAATCATATGTGTTTCATTGGATACTCTTATTGATCCATTAGGCTAGCTTAACACAAGGACAACACACATATTATGAGAATGTTTTTTCCACCAATTTCTGTCTATGATCATATGAAACTAATTCTGTTCATGTTCAAGAGAGGAGGAGAGACAGAGATAGAAAGAGAGGAGGGGAGAGGGAGATTCAAGTGAATAGAAAAATACATTGTACCAATGATGGTGAACTTTGGTATGTAAGCAACCCAATACATTGTACCAATGATAGATGTTTACAATTATATTTACTATTGTATGCAATAACCGTTTTCTTTGGGCACAAAACAATGTCATCATCTCTAAGGCCTTGTTTGGTTCAAAG